AAGCATGAAGTTGGAGAAAAATATCTGGTTTACATAGTACACAACCCATACGTTGCATAATCTTTGTTGTTGAACAGACCAAGTTGGCTAGGTTTAACTGTCAAAGGAATGCCTCAGCCATGGTTTACAAACCACAGCAGCTAAGTTTCCAGAACAGAAGCTAGATGGGCACCCGTATAAATTGCTCCTCAACTTTTGGAGGCAACGGTCACATTTGAAAGGCGGAGGGCCCATTGCCAAGGCTGCGACTGCCAGGGATACAGGCAGTTCTCCATGTAGAATAGGACACAACACTGAAAAGTCAGGTGGGAGATGAACCTGATGCGTGTGTGTGGGGGGGAGTGTACATCAATAGCCATAAGCATTATGTTGGCAATGCCAGCGCTAAGCCACCGTTTGGCTTACCACAAGTTAAACACAACAACTGATGGTTAAACAAGGTGTGCTGTATGGCTGAAAAGAGGAAAAACCCTCTGCTATTATCCTGTTCTTGGCATCTGGTGACCAGAGGTGGGTTCCTTCTTTCCCCAGAGATCCTACGTGGGAATGATGAACTCTCATGGATACCCCTGACTTCTTCTTCTCTCAGTGTCAGAGGGAATTTTTCGGAGTTGATTTTTAAGCTCCGCCTTTAGGATCGTGATCTGGAAGCAGAGAAAGCAACAGCCGTGTGAATTCAGGACACGGAGCAGGTCCTGTGTGAGAGGCCCTACATTACATCCAGTGCCCCCTTCTTCGGTGAATCGCCCCTTTCTGCAGCTCCTCCCCACATCGGCAGGCAGGTGCTGCATCCTTTCCTTTTTGAAGGCTGCTCTGCAGGCTGGACCTCCTCCCCCAATTCCCCCCCCCTAACCACATGGGAGGTGAAGGCCAATTCACTTTGTTTCGATGCCAGCCCAGCTCCTCCTTGGCACTTATGGCTGGGGAAGCTTCTGCTTCAACCTTGAGGATTACAGGTAGTCCTCGACTTACGACCACAATAGGGTCCAGAAAATCCATCGTAATCAGTGCAGCCATTAAAGGAAGCATCACCAGACCGCATCCAATTTTATGACATTTTTTGCAGCAGTATTAAGCAAATCACGCAGTTCCCCATTGGTTTTGCTTGTGGAAAGTCCCCTGGGAAGGTCACAAACAGCAATCACGTGACCCCGGGATGCTGCAACTGTCGTAAATACATGTTGGTTGCCAAGTGCCTGAATTTTGATCACATGACCACGGGGAGGCTGCAATGGTCGTAAATGCGAGGACCAGTCATAAGTCACTTTTTTTCAGCGCTGTTATAACTTCAAACAGTCGCTAAATGAACAGTCATAAGTTGAGAGCTACCTGTACTGCACATTCTGCACGTTTAAGTTCCCAGGCTGATACGGTCAGTAACATATCTCTCTGTGCTAAGTTTATCCTTGCAGCTGTGAAGCTGTTTCTTAGTCAGTTCTGATATTTACTAATCTGCTTTCTAATGAACCTGGTCTCCTGGCCTTTTCTCTGCGTGGGCATTAACTATCCGCAGCACCTACTGAAGCTAGTAGCATCAGGGCCCCCAGGATGCTTCTCCACTGGAGCATCTTGTCTGCTGGGTGACTTACCCGTGAAAGGCTCCAGTCCTCAGTAATCACTCCAAGTGGGGATCAGGAAGAGGTGTATCGTTAGACTTCCACCTGACACTTTTCACTCTTGATAAACGACCAGCGTCTCCTCTCACCAAAGAAGATGGGCGATTGACGATGTCTTTATTCGCAAGGTACCGCTCCTCGGAAAAAGCCCTTAAGGTAGGGATGGGAACAGCCTCAGCCCACTTTCCAGCCACCTTCCCCGTTTCACGCTCAGTTACATTCGGCAACTCCAGAGGATCCCATTGGTGCCTTACCCTGGTAGCCAAACGAGAGACGATCTAAAGAAATGGATAAAAAGGCAGCAAGGAAACCAAGAATCGCAAATCTTCTTCCCGGCACTGTAAGATCTGCCAGACCCTGTTCCCAAAACCAAGTAAATCCCACTGAAACCCCACAGTGATTCAAAAGAGAGTTCTTTATGGAGAAGCAATCTACAGCGCTAAGGTATTGCCAAGACTAAAAGCCTGTGCGCGCCAAAGCCCTTTTCCTTCCCCCCTTGCTCCCCCCCCCCCACAGTTCTTCTTTCTTCCTTCTTCTCAGGAGTTCATCTCCTCCTGGACCTCCGGCTGGTTCGACCTTGGCTGTTCACGAGAACCCGGTAAGAGCCCACCCGCTTCTAACGGAATTTTCCTTCCTCCCCCCCTTTCCAAACTGGCAGCACCGAGGGAAGCAAACAAGAAATTTAACTAATTGCTGACTGCGAGGATTCTGACCGGTACGTCGAGTGAGATGGCTGCCCCGGACAAAGCTGGCAGACTTGGGAAAGCCAAGGGAGGCTTCAACTGTTAATATTTGGATGGGAGACCACCGGGACGCCTCCCATCTGGAAACTAGGCGAAGGCAAAAACACCCCCAAAGAAGGAACGGCAAATCCCGCTTGTGCCGTTGGTGAAACCCCTGCAGGGACGTATCCTCGGGCGGCAAGAAAATTTGCCCTGCGCTCTACTCCAGAGAAGCTGACGAAAGTGCAATTCCTTAGGGATTCCCAGCCAGGAGGCAGCAAACACTGCGGAACTGGCGAGGGCAAAGCCCTGCCCGTCTTCTCAGAAAGGCAATCCCTGGCACGATCAATGTTCCGGCTGCTAAACAGAAGAGCAGTCAGATCTGCAAAAACTTGACGTAACAGCAGAGGACACCTTGGGCCGTAACAGCGCCCAACTCTTTGGTTGCAGCAAAGACCTCCCTATTTAGCCACTTCCTCCGAGCGTTTTCCCAGCCTGATTCCTCTCGTCCAGCCGACACCTAAAGACGCGGAGGCTTTCGCAGCTGCCTGCGAGGTCTGGGCAGGGCCCGGGGGAGAGGGTTCAGTCCCATGTGTCCCACCTCTCCAGTTCCGCTTGAAGTCGCAAAGGTCCAACCCTGGCCCGGTCGCGCATGCCCCACGCGGCCAGGGAGCTGGGCGCGCAGGTCAGCCCTGCCTGCGCTGGCGATGCTGAGAGGCTGGAGGGGCTCCTCCTAGGAGGCCTGCTGAAGTCACAAAGAGCAGCCGGGTCACTCGGCAGGGCACCGGCTGAGCTGCCCAGAGGGAGCGGCTGTGCCCTGGAGCCCCCCAGAAGGGTGTGCAGCCTTGGCCGAAGGCAGAGCTTCTGTTGCCACGCTCATCAGCCGGGGACCAAGGCCGCTTGGCAGACAGTTGCCCTAACGTGATGCTGCCCGATGGAAGGAAAGCTCCAGTCCGCGCCAGCCCATCTAGCCTCTCGCGTGGAACCGAAGTGGCTGCCCTGGGTGTGAGTGCAGAAAGGTAGCCTTGCCCCTCCCTCATGCTCCCTCTTTGCCCGCTGCTGTTCCTTGCAGGCTGGGGACTTCTGGGAGTTGATGTCCACTCCTGCTGGCTGGGGAATTCTGGGAGCTGAACTCCACGCTTCTTGAAGTAGCGCAGGCTGAGAAACCCTGCCCTACACCATTGGCTTGTTAATCCGGGAGTTACTGAGGAAACTGCCACTGCCCTGGTTTGCCCAGGGCCCCAAACCACGCCTTCTCATCGCTGAATCCGCAAGAGGGAGAGGTGGTGAAGTGGCAGGGCGCCCCGTGCGGAAGACCCAGGACTGAGTGGGTGGCGGGAGGGGACGGGGAGGGAAGAAGCCCGGGAGCTGGAGGCAGCCGGATGGCCCCTCTTCCCCCCCAGCCCAGGAAAGGGGAGGCTGCTACGAGGCACCCCTCTCACGGGGAAAAGCGGCTTTCAGGGCTCCCGCTCAGGACCCAGGAGAGCTGGTCTAGAGCAAAGCACGCCACGTCGCGGTGCTTGTTAGGTTCTGAGCTGCTTCGTCCCGGGCACCTCCAGGCCAGGATGGTTGCACCCGGAGGCCTTCCAGGGCACTCCTCCGCTGGTTCTTTACCACGGCGGATCCGACGCGTTCCTCTGTTTCTCACGGGTCCTGGCCCTGGCCCTGGCACCTCGGCTGCTGGGCCGGGTGGAACAAAGAGGCCCCCGTCTCCTGGTGCCCCGTGCCCGCTCGCTTTCCCAGGGAGCGGAGTGGAAACCAAGCCTTGCCGGCATTCCCCTGCTTCCCAGCGCCCTCCACGCTGGGCAGCCAAGAGGACCCGCTGGCCCGAACACACAGGTGCCCCCGGCCAGCATTCCGTCGCACCTCCTGCTGTCTCTCTTCAATGCGCTGTGCTGCTGCTTGCCGCTGGGCATCGGGGCGCTGATCTGCTCCCTGCAAGTGAGTCGAGGGGCATTTGGAACCACCTCCCCACCCCCCAGGTGCCCACAAGTTCTACCCCATCTTGACGGGGCGGATTTCCTTTAATGGTCAGACGGATACCCTGACTGGGGTGCAGGGGCCCAAAGGGGGAGATGCAGCACTCTTCCCATCTTTCCCCACAACCACCCTGCGAGGCAGGCTGGCTGCAGTTGGCCCAGGAAGCTTCCACGGCTGGGGATGGATCACAACCTGGAGAGAGGGCCAGGCAGCCCATCCATGCCTGGCCACCCTTTGCTCTGCCCGATGCTCATTGCTCTCTGCTCTGCCCACCCATGCAGGCGAAGGGGGCGCTCCGTGCAGGAGACACCAGACGCGCCTCCCGCTGTTCCAGCCTCGCACGCAGGGTGAACCTCCTTGGGGTTATGCTCGGAATCGTTCTCCTGATCACGATGGTCGTGGTCTATGCGCTCCACGTCTATAAAAATAAATGACGGAGAACCCCCCAGCGCCACCTTCTACTGCCAGACTGCGCCTGTGGGCACTCCCGGGCATCGCTTCAGTCCTCATGCCCAGGCAAGCAGCCCACCTCGGGATCTATGGATGCAGACAGCCTCTTTTGGATTATCACAAACTGCCTACACACACACACACACACGTGCGCGCGCACACAGACACACACACAGACGGAGAGTGTGCGCCTTAACAGCATAACATGCTGAATCGAAATAAAATTCCAATGTCATTTACGGACTCTGTATTTCATTCCGTTCCTCGATTACTCGGGAAATCAAGCGTGCTTGGTTCGTGCATTAGCGCATTTTCGTTAGGACCGTCAGTTCAGCGAAACTGTTGGCACCCAACGGAACAGAATGAGCATCCCATCAAGGGAACCGCAAGGTGGAAACCGACTCGCCCGGCCCTCCTGCGTTTCAGCCCATCAGAGGGCACTGCCCCGTTTAGGCGTGCCCACAAGCCAGGATAACAGGGCATCATAGCTTCTGCCCCGTTTACAAGGGGCACGAGGACAGGCAAACTGCACTCGCACCTCAGGCGAAGCCTAAATGTACTTTGCTTTCCGTGGCTCAGCGTGTTGGATGAACGTAGCCATTGCGCCCGGTAGACTGTAGCACCACGTGCATCTAGTCGACGACGGTTTATGCAATGCATCGCTGTTAAGCGGTCCATTGTCACACCGCAGTGCATGAAGGCCATCGCGGTTTATCCCGTGCTGGGGACAAGCACCTGGAATCCAGCCGTACCTCCGGGGGCAGCTGCAGACGTGTCCTGCTGTCAGTTGGGTGTGCCACGATTGCACAAGTCCCTCCCCAGAACTCTCCTGAAGCTTGTTCTTTCGTGCCCGAAGGAATCTTGGAAGGGGCCACGTCGAGGGGCCTGGAAGGGTCCGTCTGTTGGCCAGCGGGATGACCCTCCAGACGCTGACCGGGAGGGCCCGGGTCCAACGCGTGGGGAGCGGCCAGCAGAACACATGAGTTCAGCAAACGGGGCGCATCGGCTGGGGGCTGCAGGAAGAACCTTCCGGCGGTTCCCCCAGGGCACCTTGGCAGGAGGGGCCGCTGACCACCCTGCCCGACGCCCCTCCCCTCGGTCCTGGGACCGTCGCCCGCAGAGGGGCAGAGGCTGCCCCCGAGGCGGCCCAGAGAGCCCCGCGCACACAGGAAAGCAGGAAGCAGCCCGACCCCAGCGGCAAGGCGCTACTTTATTGCACAGCAGAACACATCTCCCATGCATCGCCTATGCGCCTGCAGGGAAAGGGGCGGGAAGGATTCCGGAGGCCATGCGCCGCGGCCTCGCCTAACTTGTACAGCAGCATCGGAACGGTGACTGGAGAAGCCTGTTGTGGTCGGGCCAGCGGCTGCCTAATTTTCATGGGCCGCATTTCTGGGCGAGCAGGAGGCACAGCCCCTTCCCATCCGCCACAGACGGGGGGAAGTTGATCCTGATCTCCTCAAGCCATTTGATAGCAAAGCCCGCCTGCCTCGCTGCCTCCTCCACCACCTCCTTCTCTAAGTAGAGGGCAGAGAACCGACGCTGGCCAACCATGTAGTAGTGCTCTTCAAGGGTTGAATGGAAGAGGAGGTGCCCGCCTGGCTTCACCAGGGAACTGATGTTCCTGAAGGCTGACCGGTAGGTGGGAATGTCCTTGCAAGCCCCGTCCAGGCACAAAGTGGAGATCAGGCAATCCGCAGGAGGAAGGACCAGCGGAGCCAAGGGGTTGGGCTGGGTCACGTCGCATTTCAGGACCTGCCTGACGGCTCTTCGCACCTTCTCTTCCTTCTGTGGCCACTTCTCCCTGCGGAAAGACAGGATGAGCACCACCTGCCCACCTCCAGACCTGAGTCAGCTCCGCTGACCGGGGAGTTGCCCCTCTTTCAAGGGACTAAGATGGGGCAAGAAACAGAAAAGCCCTCTCTCCGCCGGGATGCCCTCGTGCCTGGATCCAGTCTCAGTCGGGGACTTGCAAGGTCAAGGGCAGTGCTTCTCAACCCTGGCAACTCTAAGATGGGTGGGCCTCAACTCCCAGAGTTCCCCAGCCAGCAGGAGAGACTGGTCTAGGGCCGCGTCCCCACGCGGCTGCCGTGGCTCTGTCGCCAGCCTCTTTGTCCTGGCATCACCTACCTCACAGATTGGGGTGGGGGGCTATAAATCATCTCAACAAATTAATAGAGAGCCATGTGTGGTTCTGTCATCATGGCACCGGCCCGACTTAGCTCCTTGCGTCAAAGGGCAGCTGCAAATTCCTGACGGCAGTCTTTGTGGGCCGGTGCGCTGCTTTCCGAAAGAGAATCACCCTCGGTGGCTCCATGTGGGCTCTTCCGGTTTGCACAGTGACTTTCCTGCGAGGGACATGATTACCAAGCCTCTCCTCCTGCATTTCAGTAAATGGACGGATCAGCCAAAGTCTGAAGAAGACAGCCGTCGTCTCCTTTTCCCGAGACTAAATTAACCTGCGTCTTAAAGGGCGTCAAAGGAAAGGTGAGTTCTTCCCTGGCCTACCTGTCTCCCTCCAGCTCACAGACGTACTTCACGATGGGGCTCCAGTCGAAAGCCCCCGGTTCCTTCTTCAGCCATCGCCGCATCTCCTCCCGGTTCTGCTCAGCGTAGTCGGTGGCTATGATCTCGCGGAAGGACTCGCAGGCGGAGAGGAACTGGTGGACGGTCGGGCCACTGCCGATGTCAATCAGGGTGTCTCCCGTGATGCCATCTGCAGCCCGTCAACCCAACCACAGAGAGGTTCAAGCCCAGTCGGCTTGGGGTCCTTAACGTCAGCCATACCGCATGCTCAGAGATCAGCTGGGGCATGTTTTCCCCATCCCTCCCCATTCCCCAAACTGCCTCAGAAGCGCCAGGCCTTCCAAGAGCAGCACCGGGACCACCTGGCCAAGTGGCCGCCCTTTCTCTTCTGAGCATCCCCACGCGCTCCTTTCCCACCAACCAGCTTGCCCCGTCCCAGGAAGAAATAAACACATTCGGAAGAGACTGGGAAACTCTTTCCTCAGGCAAATTGCTTGAGTCTTGCTTCCACATCGGTCTGCAGAAAAGGCCGCATAACGTTTGCGAGCCTTTTGGCATAGGCCTCCTGTAAGCTACTTCCACTCAGTGGCTGTTTGTGCACTGAAGAGGGCATCCGAGGAGCCCAGGTTGTCACTGGCAGAATTGTGAAAATGAAAGAATGAGCTTGAGACGCGCCAGTTGGTTCATCCTGACCATCTGAGTTAAACAAGCGTCCCTCACACTGAGGTTGGAATTGGGGAAATCAAAACTTACCCAGGATGAATGCCCTGTGGGCACCTTTCAGGAAAAACGTTAGAAGAAGGCCCGTTCCTTCATCCAGAGGGCCAACGTTGTAGTATGTTTCCAGATAGTCTTTGGGATCAAGATGCTCAGCGTAGACATCTTTCTCTGTGAAAGGCTCCCCCATCCTCCTTGACACCCCTTTGCCCACTGCTGGTCTGAGCACTACGCTTTGCTCTTTGCTCTCTCCGCCTCCTCATTTCTACTATTGGTATGTTTCTCGACACTCCCCACTGTTGCATGTTCCAGCGTGAGCTTCTCGTCGGTCTTCTGGCAACGGGATTTGGCTGAGGACTTGTAGTTCTGCCAGGCGGAGGAGCCTTTCCCTCCTGGCTTCCCCTACAGCCATCCTCCTTTCTCCCCTGTTGCACAGAGGGACAGAGGCAGAGGGACACAGGCACACGCGCACACTTCTTATTCTCCTCCCCCCCCTTTAAGCTACAGTATTTGTCTGGAGCCTCCTTTTTGTCCGTTCTGCTGTGGGCTCCGCCTCTCCCGGGTGCCAACAGGTCTTCACCCTCTTTTCTGAATTCAAACTCTGCTTCTTAAATTTCCGCCTCCCTCCCTCCTGCGTTCCCCTTGATCTGTTCATCTCTCACCCGTTCTGCCCGGTCTCCAGGGGGTTGCTAATTATAGCAGTCAGTGAGGAGCATCTATTTCAGCACCTCGTATATTCCCCAGCAGGTCGGAGCCCAGGAAGCCCAAAACGGAGAGGGCATTTTGCAGTCCGGTAGCTGGCACCTTCCGGCTTGGGTAGACATCGTGGTGTCCTGATACAGACCCTGGCACGTCATACCCACCTCCAGGCAACGTCTGGCTAGGGCCCGCTGAACTTCAGCCACTTTGAAATATAGACTTTCTCTCTGCAATGTTGCAGGTACTAATTTTAGGGAAATATTGGGAACTAAAAGACCTTAGTTTTGTTTTACAGTTAAAGAATATAACATTGGTTACCTGCCCAGTTTAGCAATGGTCATTTAAGGTTTTACTGGGTATGAATTGTTAAGCTGATTTTTAAGAGTTTTGGAAATGACTGATGAAGCATTTCATTCTGAGATTGACAGAGGAGAATATGGAATAACAATGCTTCTCCTCTTAAGTTTAAGGAAAGGATGAAAGAAAAACCATAGAATTTTTTAAATTGCTTCTCTCTGACCCCCAAATTAACTGAATCATATTACTTTTCCAGTTCTTTCGATTGACGAACGATGAATTTATGACCCAGTGCACCTTGTTCGAAACTGGCTTATGTGACGTGACGATGCACATCAATCTAAGTTTCTTTGCAGGTGCAGTTCGGTTACAATCCATGTACTGTGTGTTGATGTTGTTGCAATCAGTGTGGTGTTGTGTGCAGTACTGCGCTGTCCATTGTAGTTTGTCTCTGCGTCTTCTTTGGAATGCATTATTTTTATTTATAGATTTCATAGCTTTTGGGGGGAGCTGCCAGTTATGAAATAGTGACTACCCTTGAAGATAACGTTTTTAAAATAATAATACAACTTTCACTGTATTCTCCTGGGAAATTTCTTTCTGGCCTCCTCGTTCTAAGTTCTCCCTACGGGGAAAAGCAGGAGTTCTCCTGATGGCCGATGGAAGGTCTCCTCCAACCCCGTTTGTGCACGGTCCTTCTCTTTCCTATGGACCCCTGTGAGTGCCAGACTGAGGTGGGGCAAGAATCAGCCCCTTTCTGGGAACCCTTTTCTCTGTCTTTCTTTACTTCTCCATCCTAATGGGGGGGGGGGGGGGGGCGG